CCTTTGCCTCTGGCTCAAGGGAGCAGCGGCCCTTATCTTGGGCCTCAGCTTGCAGCTGTCAGCAAAGGGCGAGACCCCTGAAACGCCCAGCCCCCCCCCCCCGCCCCCCCCCCCCCAGCCTTTCCAGACAGACTTTTCACCACAGAGCTATTCTTATCTCGGTTGCAGTGCAGACAACGGAAACAACCAGGAACTTGACTCTGGTGGGTGTGAGCATCCATGGGTGGGGGGGGGGGGGGGGTTGTGCTGGGGGGGGGGGGGGGGTGGTCAACCGAGAGCAAAAGGCCCCCAAGAACGTACCTATGTCCCTACCCATTGTGCTATTCCTTATCGGAGTAAGCGATGTTATGCGAAATGCAAAAAAGGACGAGGATAGTGGTCCATAACCCCTTGCAGATTGGTGGCCCGGGGGGGGGTTAAGAGGGGAACCAGGCCACGCAAGCGGTGGGCCGGTGCGCACAGACATGTCCGTGCACATCAATTCACCAGTATTGCTATCAACTATTACTATCAAGCTGTGCACGTGTGCATGCGTAGCAGCCCATGGACAGGTTGCAAATAGTCCGCTGTCCGATAATGGGCTGCAGCCTAAGGATTGGGGACCCCCAGAGTAGGATGTAGCAGGTGCATGAAATCAAGCATCAGGAACTAAGACAAGGGAGATACAGGTAGTCCTCAATGTACAACAGTTCGTTTAGTGAGTATTCAAAGTTACAATGGCACTGAAAAAAGGGACTTCTGACTCTTTTTCACACTTCCAACGGTTGTAGCATTCCATTCCCGTGGTCACATGATCAAAGTTCAGCCGCTTGGGAACCGACTCACATTTATGGCCTTTGCAGTGTCCCAGGGTCATGTGATCACATGACTTACTGTCATGTGATCATGTGACTTACTGGCACCTATTCTCCAAAGCAGGGGTCGCCAATCTTTTGGACCTCCGGGACCACCAAACTCATAATTTTAAATCCCAGGGACCACTGACCGGTTCTGTGGGTGTGGCCTAATTTGTGGGTGTGGCTTGGTGGTCATGTGACTGGCTGGGCATCGCTTGTATGTAAATATTATAAATATTTTTATAAATATTGAATTTTTTATTTAAAAAAAAGCAACTTTTACCCAAAATCAGGCAAAGCAGGCAGGCAGACTGAATTGTTCACAGAATCATTCAGTGATCTACCATGTTTCTCATATAATAAGGCTGGGTCTTATTTTTTTTTTTTGAGCCCCCCAAAAATGGCTAGGCCGTCTTTTCGGGGGTGACTTAATTCCCCTCCCCCTTGCATCTTCGGGCGGGCGGCGACGGCTTGGATGTTGACCTCGGCATTGGTGGGGCACTTCATATCGGGGTCAACACAGGCAGCACCATATCCGGGTGTGCAACAAAAGTACTTCCTAACGGCAAGCCCCCCCCCCCGCCAGTTCCCCCCCATTTTGCATGTTTTAATATAGGCCTTAATTCGGGGGGGAGGGGCTTAATTTCATTTCATGCCTATAAAACATGTTGGGACTTCCTACTGGGGGAGGCCATATTGTTGGAGAAACAGGGTATCTCTCTGCCATCGGCTAGCTTAGTCTGTCACATAAACTTTGCTTGCGGTGAGTCTGCACTGAATAATAGAACCTTCAGTCCTAAGGGAGGTTCGGCTGTGCTTAAAAGCAGAGCCGAAGATCTAAAGACTAGCTAGAAAGCAAGAAATCCAACCATTTCTTGCTTCCTAGCTAATCTAAATCTCCAGGCACAGCAGAACAGCCGATGGTCAGAAAAAGGAAAAATAGCAATTTAGCAGGCAAGTCTGCGGGGTAAGGAGTGGGCGGGGAGGGTTCCCAAGGGCCATGTGGGTGGTGTAGCCTTGTGCACAGCCTGGATTAATTGCTTTGTGGGGTGCTCTGGGGGTGACATTTCTCTGCGGCCCACCAACATTTTCTCCTGGACCACCCGTGGGCCATTGGCGACCGCTGCTCCAAAGCACCTGAAGGCAGGACAAGAAGCAACGGGTGGAAACTAATCAAGGAGAGAAGCAACCTAGAACTAAGGAGGAATTTCCCAACAGTTAGAACAATTAGCTAGTGGAACAACTTTCCTCCAGAAATTGTGGTTGCTCCAACACTGGAGCTTTTAAAGAAGAGATTAGATGACCATTTGTCTGAAAATGATGTAGGGTTTCCTGCCCGAGCAGTGGGTTGGACTAGACGACCTCCCAGGTCCCTCCGAGTCAGTGGGGAAGCCAGATTCGCTTAACAAATATGCTTCTAATTTAACAACTGCAGTGACTCGCAACAACTGTGGTGAGGGAGCTCATAAAATGGGGCAAAACACACATTTGCAAATGTGTAGCTTTGTGGAAATTTTGGTCTTGGTTGTAAGTCGAGCAAGGTAAGTTGAGAACACGTCCCGTAAGGTGATCTTACCTTGTGAAGCAGCCACGCTGGCCAAGGCATGCATGTAGGGGGTTTCCCACCGCTCCATCACTGGCTTCCCCATGATTTCCAAGTGAGTGTCGGCTGGATTGTAACCCGCCGTGGCTTCCTTCCAAGAAGGCTTACAGTTTTCCCCTTCCAGAAAGATGGGGCAAGCCATGTCGGAAGGTCTAAGGGCTCCTTGGAAGGTGAGAAAAAAAGATCGGAAGAGGTTGTCAAAGCTCCAGGGATCTGGAACTGGAGCCGCTGGGCTCCTGCTTAGCTCGAAATAGTTGAGGGGGGTGGAGCAGAGGAGGAAAGCCGAGTGAGCGAAGGGGAGTTAAGGGAGGGAGGGGGAGCTTGCAATTCCCGCTTGGAAGCGGGGCAGGTGAAGGGGACCCCTTCTGGAGAAACGGAACAACTGCAGATCGTCAGGTGTAAATGGCTCTTGTTATGGGATGGGATAAAGCAGAAGAACAGAAGAACGGAGTTGGAAGGGAATTTGGAGGTCTTCTAGTCCAACCAGGGGACCCTATCCCATTTCAGACAAACGAAATTGCCCACCCCAAAAAAAAGCCAATGCAGTCCTAGGCTGCGTTAACAAAGAGGCAGAACCGAGAGCAGGTGAAGTGTTAATGCCACTCGGTAATGCTTTGGTAAGGCCACACTTGGACTACTAAATCCAGCTTTTGTCACCACGATGCAAAAAAAAAAAAAAAGACGTTGAGGCTCTAGAAAGAGTGCAGAGAAGAGCAACCAAGAGGATGAACGGACTGGAGGCTAAAACAGGGTTGCAGGAACTGGGTATGTTTAGATTAATGGAGGACCTGGAGCAACATGATAGCAGTGTTCCAATATCCGAGGGGCTGCCCCAAAGAAGAGGGAGTCAAGCTATTCTCCAAAGCATCCGAAGGAAGGAAAAGAAGCAACGGATGGAAACTAATCAAGGAGAGAAGCAACCTAGAACTAAGGAGAAATTTCTGACAGAACAATCAGTCAATGGAACAACTTGCCTCCAGAAGTTGTAAATGCTTCAACACTGGAAGTTTTTAAGAAGAGACTGGACAACTGTTTGTCTGAAATGGTGTAGGGTTTCCTGCCTGAGCAGAGGGGGTTGGACTAGAAGACCTCCAAGGTCCCTTCCAATTCTGTTATTCTGTACTCTATTCTGTATGGTTGTCCAGTTTTGGGGGGCAGGTTTGATTAATTGTTCTCACTGTCAGGAAATTTCTCATTAGTTCTGGGCTGGTTTGCTCCTTGATTAGTTTCCATCCGTTGCTTCTTGTCCAGAATATTTTGGAAAAAGCTGACGCCACTAAAGTTGGACTATTTTTTTTCATGAATAAAAATGGGGAATGGAGAACAGATGAAAGTAGTCTAATCCTTTGTGCTGCTAATACATTTTTTTAAGTTTTAACTTTTTAAGACCAACCAAACAGGTTGGATTAATTTGAGCCAGTCACTGTCTCTTAGCCCAACTCACCTCACAGGGTTGTTGTGGGGGGAAAGGGAGGAAGGTGTGTTGGAGGTGTTCACTGCCTTGAGTTATTTGTTTAAAAAAAAGAATTTTTAAAAAACTGATTGCTTATTGTACCCTATGACTATGATTAAGTGTTGTACCTGATGATTCTCGACTCTTGATGAATGTATCTTTTCTTTTATGTTCACTGAGAGCATTTGCACCAAGACGAATTCCTTGTGTGTCCAATCACACTTGGCCAATAAAGAATTCTATTCTATTCTATTCTATTCTGTTCTGTTCTGTTCTGTTCCTATTCTACTCTACTCTACTTCATTCCATTTTTTCTATTGTATTCTGTTCTGTTCTGTTCCCTTCTATTGCTATTCTATTCTACTCCATTCCATTTTTTCTATTCTATTCTATTCTGTTCTGTTCCGTTCCGTTCTATTCCTATTCTATTAAGTCATAGAACATAAAATAACAGAGTTGGAAGGGACCATGGAGGTCTTCTAGTCCAACCCGCTGCTCAAGCAGGAGAAACAAATAAATAGAACAGAAATCTGACTGTCTTATTGACAATTTTGACAAGGCAATCTGATGTTCTGATCTTATCCATTGATAAGGCTCCGTTTTTAATGAATGATCAATTAATTTGATTCCCCTGACCTTAACTTAGAAGACTGGTATTCTTGTGAGGTCTCCACGGGCAACTTTTAGCCGGAAAAGATAGCAACTTCTTTGATTTTACTGTAATATCGAGTTAAAATTGCAGTCCCCCTATAAGTAGTATGGATTTTGATGAGGTATCAGGAAGAATGTTCTAACAAGAGCAGTCAGTTTGGTCTAGTGCAGAGGCCCCCAAACTTGGCAACTTTAAGACTTGTGGACTTCAACTCCCAGAATTCTCCAACCCCTAGTAAAGACACCAAGTTGAAACCAGGAGGCTGTGAGTTCTAGTCCTGCCTTAGGGATAAAAGAAAGCTGGATGACTTTGGGTTCATTATTCTTTTTCAGCCCAACCAAAATTATAGGGGTTTGTTTGTTAATTATTTATTTATAAAATATATACGCCACCCATCTTGCTTCAAGGTAAATGGACAGCGTTGTTGTTGTAGGGATAAGATAGTTCTTCACTTACAACCATTCATTTAGTGACCATTCAAAGGCACTGAAAAAAGTGACTTAGGACCATTTTTCATACTTGCGACTGCTGCAGCATCCCCGTGGTCACGTGATCAAAATCCAGGTGCTTGGCCACTGACTCTTATTTATGACGGTTGCAATTTCCTGAGATCACCTTTCGTGACTTTCTGACAAGCATAATCAACGGAGAAGCCAGATTTACTTAACAACCATGTTACTAATTTAGCAACTGCAGAGATTCACTTAATGACAGTGGCAAGAAAGGTCATGATATGGGGCAAAACTCACTTAGCAACTGTCGTGCTTAGCAATATTTTGGGCTCAATTATGGTCATAAGTCAAGGACTAAACTATAGGAGGAGGAAAGAGCAAGTATGTATGTTTATCATCCTAAATTATTTATAAAGTCATGTTAAAGGCAACAGGTTAGAAACTGGGAGACCATGAATTCTAGTTCGGTCTTAAGCAGGAAACCAGCTGGGGCTTTTTGGGGGTCAGTTCCTTTCACTCAGCTCTGGGAAGCAGCAGGCAATGGCAAACTATTTCCGAAAAACGCTGGCAAGAAAATTGCAAGGATTTCTCCAGGCAGTTTCAGATGTAAAGGCCAACTTGAAGGCAGGTACACACAAGCCATAACAACAAGTTAACGTAGTGGTTAAGGATCCGGATTAGACACAGGGAAGCTTCTTGTCCTGCCTTAGGCATGAAAGCCGGCTGGGTGACTTTGGGCCAGTCCCTTTCTCTAGCCCCAGAAAGGACAAGGAAAATCCACTTTTTGGAAATGCTGCCAAGAAACCTGCAAGCACTCATCCAGGTGTTTTAGGAGTCAAGAGTGATTCAAAAGGACAAGAACATAAAGTAAAATAAAAGCTCTTCAACAACAGCAGATGATTTCTGGAGGTGGGGATACCCCTTCGGTGGAGATATTTAAAGCAGAGCTGAATACCCAGAAATTGGGGAGATTACAGTAGTGGGTTTCCTGCAGTGGCAAGTTGGAAGTCGGACTAGATTAATTTCTATGGAGATTCTCAGTCATCTAGGTCATGGTTGTCCCAAAGGTGCTTTTTTCAAGAGACAACTGGACTTTCTGGATTTTCTTTGAAGGACGTTTCACTTCTCATTCAAGAAGCTTCTTCAGCCCTAGCTGGATGGTGGGGAATGGAAGGATTTATACTCCTTGCAGACAGCAAGATAAAGAGCCACGTATGTCACAATTGAACAGCCCCCTTTCAACAGAGCGGGAAGGATACAATATCATATATCTCCAGTCTACAACACCATCCTTTCAACAGTTCCAAGAAGGCTCCACACCCATTTGCACTTCTCAGGTGACCCTGAGGACACAGATAAACCTCCAGGTGGCCTCAACAACTCTCTAAAAGGATGCAAATGATCAGCAAGGAGTATAAATCCTTCCATTCCCCACTATCCAGTCAGAAGTGAAGAAGCTTCTTGGATGAGAAGTGAAATGTCTTCAAAGAAAAAAACAAAGTCCAGTTGGCTCCTAAAAAAAACACCTTTTGGACTAGATTAATATTTTTTTTTCAAACTTGGCAACTTTTAAGATATGTGAACTTCAAGGTCGTAAAATGGGGTGGAACTCATTAAACAATTGTCTGGAATGGAAATTTTGGACTATATTGAGGACTACCTGTAGACTAAATACCCTCCAAGTCCTGGCCTTCCGGACACCATAGAAAGCTTCCTTACAACATCAAAAACTGTTGGTCTGTTAAGTTATTTACACAGACGGCATTCTAAACAAAACCATTATTTGGATGAATTGTACTCTTGCCTTGGAAACCTGTTTTGAAGTATAAAGAAAGATGTTAAATTATCCGTCTCTGCAGAATGAGCAGCTAAGAAAGATTTGTGGGGGTTTGTGTGAATCCAGAAAACTGAGTCCGACACTATGGTGGTTAATCTTGTTTGTACAAACTCCAGATGCCCACATGCTCACCTTACACCAATGGTATTAATTCCTCTCTACATGAACCTCTTGAGGTGGGAACTACAGTTCCCATCCTCCACACTACTTGGAAGCCACCAGGTTAAGACTGTTGTAAAGGATTAGCACACTAGCTTGAAAACTGCTGCTGTGTTAATAGCATGATAATATTTTGTTTTCGTAACTTTAGGGCTGCGTTGGGTTTTTTTTTCGTCATATCGATATCACAGCTAAGGCAGCATACGATTAATCAATAACTTTTTTTCTCTAATAAACCAAATAGTTTCTTCTTAATTCCACGCGCAGGAGCTTCCATTTCGTTTCTCTTCTTCCTCCTTTTAAACCGCACACAGAGACGCAGAATCGAAACTATAATTTCCTTCTTCAACGGGACTACACTTCCCAAAAGTCCAAAGACAAACTTCCGGAACCGAACACGCTCAAGTGGTCCACTTCCTTAAAAAAATATAAAAGAAAAAAAGAAACCAAGAGAGAAAAGTACAGCAACTACATCCCCCATCATACCCTTTGTTCCTTAAAGCGGAAGTCAGACCGCGTGCAACCACTCTACCCGCTCCTAACAAAGAGAATGGTCCTCCAGACGCTCTTGTGCGTGGGTTTCCCTCCTTTCCCCGCCTCCTCCCGCCCACCTTCAACTACCGGAGACCCCGTAGCAGCCAATGATATTCTTGGCGGCTGTTGGGAGGGAGGAGGGAGGGGGAAGGAAAGGAGGAGGAGGGGGGGGGGAGAAAGAGTCTCGCGACTCTACCGCGCAGGCGTATTACCCGGCTTCTTCTTGCAGCGGCGGTTGGTGGCGGCCGGAGAATTGGGAAGGAGATTGGGCGGGCAGCGGCGAAGAGAAGGCGGCGCGCGTGCGTGCGCTTGCGCAGGCGCGCGACGGCGGCGGCGGCGGCTCTGGCTGACTGTCGCCGGGCCCCTCTAGTGTGAGGTAAAGCTGAAAAAGGCGGCAGTGAGGACGGCGGCGGCGGCGCCTGGAGTTGTGAGGGCGCTTGTGGCAGGCGGTGAAGCCCAAGGGAAGAAGCGGGACGTGGGGAAAGCGGCGTTAAGGAGCCGCCACCGCCTCTCTTCGCGGCGCCGCCAGAGAAAGAAAGGAGGAGAAGAGCGGCAGCTGACCGGGGCCTACCCCCCCACCCCCAGGCCATTCTGCCCCCGTCGCCGCCATGAATAGCGTCGGGGGCGCCGACGAGATCGGGTGAGGTCCTGAAGGCGAATGAGCTGGGAAGGAAGGAGGGGGGGGCACGTGAGGGAAAGCGACAGACGACTGCGGGGAGGGGCACGTGCTCAGCGAAGGTATTTCACACACCCCCGTCTCACTTGGAGACCCCCCCACCCACCCTAAAGTGAGTCTCTGTCGAAGGGGCGAGGCATGGAGCATCTGAGGGGGGGGGTGGCAGGAAGGCCCTTGCTCGGGGTCTGACTGACCTCAAAAGAGGGGAAGCGGAAGAAAGCCGGGAAAGCGGGGTGGGGTGGGGGGGACACCAAGACCGATCACCCTTCCCCTCCCCCCAGGGGAGCCAAGCGCCCCTTTATCCCGCATCGCTAGAGGTGATGAAAGTCGTTTCAAAGCGCCTCCGCACCGCCGAGCCAGGTGAGATTGGCGAGGCCTTGCTGGGAATCGTGCAAGCCTCCCTGTTGGTTTGGAGAGCCCTGTATATGAAACACCTCCTACCTCTCCTCAGAGAGAGTTGGGATGGGATCTCCAAGTGCTCTTTTTCTCTTTCCCGGGTTAACGCCGGTCTCTTCGGCCTCTCCCTGTGTACCAGAGGAACAGCACGCTGTGGAGACAGAGAGAAGGAAGTTGAGAAGCCGAAATTGCTGCATTAAAAAAAAAAAAAGCCCTCCTCTTACAGGTAGTCCCGGATTTTATGACCGCAGTTGAGCCCAAAGTTTCTGTGGCTAAGGGAAACATTTGTTAAGTGAATTTTGCCCCATTTTTACAACTTTTCTCATCACAGTTAAGTTAGTAGAGGTGATTAACTGAATCTGGCTTCCCCATTGACTTTCTTGTAAGAAGATCGCAAAAGGGGATCACGGGATCCGGGACACTGCAACTGTCATAAATAAGAGTCCAGTTGTCAAGCCTCTGAATTTTGATCACAGGACCATGTGGATGCTGCAATGGTCATGTGAAAAACCAGTCATAAGTTGCCTTTTCAGTGCTGTTGTAACTTTGGTCACTAAGTGAACTGTTGTAAGTTGAGGACTGCCTATAGTTCCTTTCTGATAATTGGGGCCCAAAGGGCTTTAGAGCAAGATGGGAAGGTTGTTTGAAGAGCTGTCCTGTAAGGATCTGCATCTTTCTTTCACTTTTTCAAAATAAGCAGGTGTAAAAAGGGAGGGTATAATGAAAATGCTCCGTAATATTATGCATGCTGTATAAAGTGAGAGTGGATAGAAATGATTTTTCCAAAGGTACTTTTCCCAAAAGGCGACTGGACTTCCTTGAATCTTCTGAGAAGGTCCAATTCCCTTTTGAAAAAAGACCTTTGGGACAGCCATGACCTGGTTGATTGAGAATCTTCATAGGCATTGAGAAATGATCTTGTTCGTAATAGAGCTATTATTGTGTAAGATTAGGAGGTTGGAGGTTGAGGACATTTAAAAGGAAGTGTGTGGGATTAATGAAAGATGAGGACAATTATATCAGGGATGGCTATACAACAAAGCAATTAGTGATAGTGAGATAAAACTGGCAATATAAGGAAGCCGTATGGGATGCTTGGCAGCAAGAATAGTGGGGGTGTTTGTTCCCTAAGGTCATGAAGCAACATCCTTATGTGGCAGATATTGAAGAACAGAGCTGTTTTTGAGGGAAATCACTATCTTCAGGGAAGAAACACTTAATACTGAGTTATTGAAAGAAATAATGGAGCTGATGGTTGTGTTTTAATTCAAGCCCTCATTAGTTAGGAAGAGTTTTGTGGTACTACAGAAATACATTTTCTTTTCCATATTTGGCGTGAAGAGACAAAGGAGGCCAGAGTAACTGTGGTATCAGGCTCCTTCAGTAGTTAGGTGACATGAGATCATATACTTTGACTTGTTTGAGCCTGATTCTAGGATCCATCTCTTCTGCCACATATTTGAGAAGTTAAATTAAACCACCCAGGATCTTTGTATATGTTTATATCTTTGTGTAGGACTGAAAGTTTGAAATTTTTTTTTCGGTGCTCTCTATTTACTACCATGTAATCAAAATATAGACTAATTACCTGTTTAGTTATGTAATCTATCCGTGACCATGTACATAGTAGAGTTTTCTATTACAAATGCTGAAACCCAGTCTGTTTCTGGGTACTGGGTTTCTTCTAACTTGGGGACTCAGTGTTAAGACTAGAAAGGTCCCAAGGTCATAAGGTGATGCCTTACAGGGGAGAATCTGCAACTGTTCTTTTGTCTTCCTTGCATTCTATAGAAATGCAGAATTCATCTAATTCCCTGGTTTCTTTGCATTTTTAAGGGAGGTATTGGCCAAAAAATCAATAACCTTCACCTCTTTTTTTTTTTTAACATAAATGATCCTTCATAATATTGGGACATTTGCTGCTGTTACAGTATTATGTATCCTGCTGTTGATGGAGGATGACAACCTGTATAAGACAGAACATTGGTGACTCAGTACTTCTAATGAAGTCGGAGTGTATTCCTCTTGACTGCCAAAAGCATGAGTGGCTTTGGAAATCTGTATAAGAAGCTTGGAAAATTAATATAAAGATTTCCTTTTGGCGGCTCTTTTAATTTTTCTACCAGCCCTTCTGGGTGTCCATGTTTTTTATTCTTGGACCGATATCCACATAACAGTTTCTACCCAAATTCTATGTCTGAATTTGCAAAAGGCAAGGAACTATGAATTCTGTTTCATAAAATCAACTGATTTTATGTTTTTATTTTGTAATCCCAGTATAGCTCATTAGTTGTGTCATTTTGTATATTTTCCTTAATCACCCTTTTCCAAATATTATGCAGGATGTCTGCAGTGTATATAGGAAGAGAGCTAGAGGAATACTTTAAATTATCACTCTTTCTTTCTACTGATACTACAATATATTAAGTATAGATAACTCAGAATTGGAATCTTGATAAACTATAGTAATATAAAAATTGTTTGTTTAAGCTGAAGATCTGCTGTGACTTGATCAGTTACATTATCAAAATATATTTAATTTTGAGCATTTGAACAGTATAGATATTGTATCAAAGTAAATAAGCACTAACAAATTAAGCCACATTATATCCCAGGGCAGGAAGTATGGATGCTGCAAGTAATTATGAGGCTTTGTACTTGGGATCATATACTGCTTTTTTAAAAAAGGACTATAGAACTCCTTTAAAAGGGAACATATACAAAATACCTTAAAGCAGCCTCATTTTTCCTCAGTTTATCACAGTTGCTTTGAAAAGCTGCTTTCTGCTGCTTTCACATGTGTTGTGTGCATACATAATCACTTTGCTTCTATGTGAAGGAAAGTGGTTGCAAATAAAGATGACAGAGAACAGCTTCCAGAGCAAACACCCAAGCTTGGAAGAAGAAATGACCCAGTATTGAGAAAAGGTGCTTTGGCAGTGGTCCCATATGAACTAACGCTCCTTTATGAAATCAAGCAGTCAAAACCTTTTTTTCCCCTTGTTGCTTAGCTTTTGGCTCTCAATTGATGAGACCAAGTGATATTTGTCATTTTGACTTTTACTGTTAAGTGTTTAGATTTACATTTTAAAGTTCAAGTGCATAGATACAGATCCTTTTGGAAAATAATTTTGCTTTTCCATTTTAAAAATTGAGCCTCATATTACAAGAATAACTAGTGTCTTATTTGAAGTGTATTTAAATTTTACATATAGGAAAAAGGAGATTATAGGGAAATGACCTAGATTTGTCAGTTGTTTATGATTCAAATGATTTCCTCTGTGTGGTTGAGTCAGAAACAGTTGGGTTTTATAAGAAGACTACAATATCCAAAACCAGTGGTTTTGGACAATTTTGCTGGGCTTACTAATTGTCCAGGGCCATAATGAATTTTTGATTTGTTCTTAGTGTTTGGTGAATCTAGTCATTGCAATTTGTAAATAAACTCATGTATTAATGACACCATGGCTTAAAGTAATCAGTGAACCAAGTCAATATATGTATATTCAAGTAACAACCTAGAGAGCTCCCTACAAAAGAGCTGGATCTACTCTAGATTTTATTCCTAATAGGATCTCTGAGAGATATTTTTCTTAGCCATATAGAACATGCTAGATCATGATGTCAATATAATACTATACAGTCTGAGACATAAAAGTACAAGACTATTATTTCAGCTGAAGGGGCTAAATTTGCAAATATCCTTTAAGATGAGAAATATACATGTGCTTTAAAATAGTAGCATTTCTAGTAACCATTGTCAATTGTGACATCATTCAGAATGTTAAATAAGATTTTTAAACACCTATTTTGGGGTTGTGGTATCAATAGTATTGGAGTGAGCATATTTTAAGGTTTGTGTATATTTGCATAATTATTTTATATGAACTGGCAGTTTTTTAATTACAGTAATAAAATAGGCAGCAGCATATAAATTTAATAAATAAGAGATTATTTTTTTAAATGTTTGTCTTAGTATGTAGTATTTATTTTACATTTCTATGTATTTAAAAAACATACAACACTTCCAGCTATACAACATCTTAAACATAATACACTATATAATAATAGTAACAATAACATAATGTAATCCAATCTAAACTTTGGCTGACTATGTGACCAATTATAATAACACTTTTAAAAACAGTTTAGATAAAGAAATGATTAAAGGTTAATAGTAGATGGTTACTGTTGAAAATGTTGAGCCTGATGCTGGAAAGTCAAGATTTGAATCTACTTGCGGGAGGAGCAAGTTAACTACCATGTTTCCCTGAAAATAGGACCTACCTTGAAAATAAACCCTAGTCTTATTTTTAAGAGAGTGCCTAATATAAATCCACCCTAGAAATAAGCCCTAGTGAAGGGAATGAGGGTGGCCAGCATAGAAGAGGCGGAGAGCATGCACGGACCAACAGTGTCCATCCACTGCTGCAGCCCATGCAGTGCAGGTGAGTTGATTACCTGTCCAAGCAGCAGACAGAGGCAGAGGTACAGGTGGGGGGAGACAGGTGATCTGGCTGCACCATGCAGGCTGCAGGAAAGCCGAGAATCAGTGGGCCAGAGCAGCA